GAGAATAGCTGTTTGCTGATATATGTCTATATCTCACATGTCGTGTCATCTTCTTTATCTTGATGAACTATCTCCTAATATTCGGCTATAATCTGCTTTACGTGAGAATAACTTGTCAGTGTTTTGACACGGGACTGTAGGTTGTTTGTGGGTTTTGGTTTCCCTGCCTGATAAAATATTAAGTTTTTACCCCAGTTATTTTATGTAAATCAGCCCCATGAATTATGGATTAGTTATCAGATAAATATCAGCATCCCTGAGAAATGACTGCGGGCAACAAACTCCAGAGGAGGGTGGGTGAGGTGAAGATCTGAGAGCAGGAAGTCAGCAGGTGGGGAGTCGACGCCGAGGAAGTCATTTAATCAGCTCCTCTCTGACATTATTTAGCAGTCTGCTGACTTGATCCTGGAGATGTGGTTTGGCACAATGACACGCATCAACTATGCTCTCTTATCTTTTCTCTGGAGATGTACCCCTGAAATCCATGTGTGTGTGCAGGGCAGCAACATCCTCTCAGATAAATGAGGAAGGTTTTGATTCTGCTGAGCCAAGAGTCTCTTTGGGGCTTTTAATCTTCAGCATGAGTCGGTGGAGGAGTCGAGGACGAGTGCATTCAGGGAGTAAATCAACCCAAACAACAAGAAAGGAGAATTTAAACTCTTGTATTCAAACACATTAGAGAACATCCACAGGGAGAAGTGAATGTTCTGTCTGCCTGAGGAGTTCCTGCGACATTATGTAACATAAAAACAAAGCTTAAAGGCAGAATGAGTTAAAAAAAACAACATATAGACTCACAGAAAAGTAAGTGTGGTGGTGTTATCTTGCTCTGATGTTTCTGGGTGTCAACCTTTGGAAAGTGACCCCCTGCCAGTGACAGCACACAGACACTGCTGTTATAAACATTAGCTGCTGGTACTGGTTGCTGTTTGGAGGTGATTCAGTCACTGGGGGCGGGGCTAATTAAGGTTCAGCTGATTTTCTAGTAATGTCTGCATCTCTCAGTATTGTTAACTAGCAGATCTTGACCTCCGCAACATGCTGAACATGAAGATGTATCGCGGCCAATGAGGTATCTACATTATTCTACTTTTCCAAATATGCAGTTCTTTGCATGCAGTTTAAATTTGTTATGTTTGCCTAGTGTACTTTAATATTTCTGCATACTGTGTCCGTAAACAGTGTTGTGTAAATTGGATTAAATAAAGGGAACTCTTATAGAGTCAATGAGCCCAATTGTATTCATGTGTGATGATGTTCGTCCCCATCGTAGCCATTTCATTAGTGAGCTATTGTGATGTCTGGGATAATAACAGCCTCATGAAACTG